AGGCATAATATTTTCTACTTCCTTGCCTAATCATGCCCTAGGACTCATGTTCTGCGGCTTCTCTGTAAAATGTTCCTAACACTGCCTAACCCATTCCACCTTCAAGAAGGCAGTGGGGTAGAACTGGGAGTGTGTGTGTGTGTGTGTGTGTATGTATGTATGTGTGTGTGTGCACATATGTGTATGTGTTTGTTGGGGGTCTTCTCTTCCTTTTTTGCTCTACAGATATGCTCATATTACATTTTCCATTTTGCGTCCTAATTGGTGGATATTGGTCTCACCCATAAAACAAAACCCTTGTCATGTACTGTGTCTCAATGTACCTCTGTTTTCCCAAGGCAGGAACAATGCCTAGCACTGCTCCTTAAATGTTAATGAATGAACGAATGCTTGTTTTGACTGTGAGCTTCATCTCTGAGTCTAGTTTGATAGTCAAAATATTCTCCATTGTGGGTGTCAAAAATTTCAAAAATGTCAATGCATGCATATAAATACACTTCAGGATATTAAGTTTGTTAAGGTATAATTTACACATAGTAAAGCTGTCCCTGAATTTTGACAAATGGACACAACTGAGTAAGAGTGGGTGGGTCTTAATATACTTGCTTGGGTCCTGTCCCCAAGCCTTCTGACGGTAAGAACATCTCCTCAGGTGATCCAGATAAGAATCCTTGAAGTAGATGATGCTCTGCCACTCTATTCTAGATTTCCTTTCCTTTCCTCAGTCCCTCATCCATCACTCTCAGTCAACTATTAATATTGAAGATAAAACCAAAACATTTCTACTCAGCACCACACTGGAAGCAAAATCTAGGTAACTCAGCCACTTGCCTGGAGTCAACTATGATTTCTGGTTGTATGGCAGAAATAAAGCTAGTAAATGATATTTTGAAACGAACACAAGATACCCACTCAAAGAAATAAAAATGCCTTTGAATCAGAGTGAATAAAAGGGCTGTGATTTAAATGGGGACTGAGTATTGATGTAGGGAAGGGGGGGTGAGAGAAGAAAACTGCCCTTACAAAACACATTGTTTTGATTCCAAATGCAACTTTACACCTAAAGATTCAGGGGCTCTGTGAATAAGAGAGATTGACACAAAGTCAAAACCTAAGGAGGGGCGCCTGGGTGGCTTAGTCGTTAAGCGTCTGCCTTCAGCTCAGGTCATGATCCCAGGGTCCTGGGATCGAGCCCCGCATCGGGCTCCCTGCTTGGCGGGAAGCCTGCTTCTCCCTCTCCCACTCCCCCTGCTTGTGTTCCCTCTTTCACTGTGTCTCTCTCTGTGAAATAAATAAAATCTTTAAAAAACAAAACAAAACAACAACAACAACAAAAACCTAAGGAATACAGTGCTGAAGGAAAATAGGGGAAATTCATTTCTCTGGTTTGGTGGTGTCATCCTTCAATGACTGGAAGAGGCCAGAGGATAAGGAGAAAAAGGCATTATCTTCTCTATCCTTTATTTAACTGAGATTGTTGGAAGATGTGGAATCTGGCCTCTAATTAAGAATATGGGACAATCTTTACCCTATTCAAATTTCTATTTTTACAAATCAGCGTTTCCATTTGGGTGAAGTCCATCATAACAAACTCCAGGGGCCTGTCACCTTTCTTCTGTCATTTCCCCCCACCCCCCAGGATTGTATTATAATCGAATACTTCAAGTGATAGGGTCAATGGCCAGGAGACTTGACATTTAGTGGAAATGGAATCTGACCTTTGCTAATGTTTCACTGTGAATAATGTCTTTGGTTTCATTGTGAATAATGCTCAAAATGGGACTGATGTATTAACTAGTATTTGACTAATTAAAGAAAAAAAGAAGAAACCATCATGAATCAAAACAGAGGTATACTTGGTGTAAAAACAGCCAGAAAATGTATAATGCCTACTTGCTCTGCTGAGGTCCTGGGAGACTATGAGTCTGCATGAATTTTAAGAATCCACTGAGTAGAATGGGTCTTTCAGAAAGGGTGAGTTAAAAAAAAATCACCCTGCTTTTGCAAAATGCCATTGAGTTATCCCCTCAGAGAAAGGAAATCATGGAAACTGCTGTGGAGACATTTGGAAGTATGCTTCACACTATCATTTACAAGGCAGGGTATGTGGGTCTCACCAGCTGCCAGGACTGGTGGAAAACTGCTGAGCTAGTCGTTACGGCCAAACCAAGCATCTCCCTGTAATTAGACTTAGCTGGGGAAAAAGTGGCACACAGAGGATAGAAATATGTGGCCTCAGACTCGGGGGGAGGACAAGAAAGCTGATTAAGTTTTTCTCAAGAGATTCAATTAAAGAATCTCGCTGGGTGTGGCCCTGGACTGCTTAGCTGCCCAGAGAAGTAGCTGTAAGCCGCATCGAGTGCTTGAAATGTGGCTTGTCTAAATCGAGATATGCTGTTAAGCGTTAAATACACACTGAGATTTCTAAGACTTCGTACACAAATATTTCAATAATTTTTAATACAGATTGATTATATAATAGTTTAGATACATCTTAGGTTAAAGTAAATTATTAAAATTAATTTCACCTATTTCTTTTTACTTCCATTTATAAATGAACTACCAACATTGAAAACTTGGGATGGTTAAAATACAGATCGAGATTTCTGATAGTACTGGGCCCAGAGCTGTCTGAGACCCAGGAGCACGTGCACTTTTTAGGTGTGCATGGCTTGTGTTTCTCCAGCTGCACAGCCCCCTCCTGGCTGACTATGTCTTGTTTCACAGACCCACCCAGTCGGGTAGGCATTTGTCTACAGCAAGAACTATAGGTGCGAGACACTGACAGGGTTGGGGATCAGAGGGGACACAGCAAAGTGGAAAATCCCTGACGCCAAGCCTGACAGATCCTGCGTGATCTCAGCTCCACCAGAGGAGCTGGGTGACCCTGAGCAAGTCCCTTTGCTTGCTAGTCTGAGCTGTTGTGTGTGGGGGAAAGTGAAAGAAGTTCTATAGTTAAGGAGCCTATGTGGTACCCTGGCAGGTAGTAAATAGCTTTGTTAAAGTTACTCTTTCTTATCCTAAACACAAGAAATCTATCATCACAGCAAAATCTAGCTGACTACCAGGGAAGTGGCTAATTCATCACTGTAAAAATAATGAAGGCCTAGATCATTCACTATAAAGAACTGAGGAAGAGAAAGCAAAGGGTAAAAATATCAGACACTATCCCAATGTAGTAAGTGATCCAGGTGAGGATTATCCATTGATACTCAAAGCACTGACAAAAGGTAGGTTGGTGACAGGATGTTCACAAAGGATCCATGGAGCAGCCTACAGATGCCTTACTGACTCAGGGTGTATCTGGACATAGGTGAGGTCTGGTTACCACCTGCTCAAGAGATCACACTGAGCTCTGTGGATGGTGGTACAAGGTGACATCATCTGCCTCCTGCTGTGATGTAATATCAAGCATGCATTACCACCTATGAAGTATCCTTGCCAAAAAAATGTTTAACCCGCACCTAATACCAAGCCTCTAAATCTAATAATTTTCAGGAAGAGAGAAGGAGCAAGCTGACCAACACTATGAAGAAACAGGCAAGGCCAGAGTGCAGGACATTCTATACAACATGCAGCCTGGACAATGGGGGAAATCTGACTATGGACTGGATGTTAGACAATATCACAGAATTACTGTAAATTTCTTAGGTATAATAGCATTGTGGTTATATAGAAGAATCCATATTCTTAGGAAATACACAATGAAATATTTAGAGGTAAAGCGTCAAGATGTTTGCAACCTTCAAATATGGTGCAGCAAAAATTTATATAATGTATGCCATATATGTTACATGTAATACATATAAATACATACGTATAAATAATTGGAAGAAGGAATAACGAAAGCAAATATGGCAAATTCAAAACAATTGGTGAATCTAGGTAAAGGGCATATAGGTGTTGGTTTTACCATTCTCCCAAACTAGTGGCTTTGTTCAGAATAAAAAGTTGGGAAAGAAACTGGAAGAGAGAAAAAAGAAAAAAATAATAGGAAAGAAAAAAATCATATAATATCACTACCTCCTCTTTTCATAATCCCCTTGACATTTACATTCAGGTCAGCTTCACTGTGTGCCTTTTCATTCAATATGGTTACATTTTTACCACTTTAATAAATTCCATGTGTGCTCATTCAAACTGATGTAGCCACTGTTTTGGCTGCTTTGTTGGCTGACATCAAAATCACACTTTAAACAAAGCTCCAACAGTAGGCTCTAGAAGTGCTTCAGGTGGGGGTATGAAGCCTAAGATGTCATATCAAAAACTCCTGAAATTGACACCTAATTCCCTATCTGGATGGTTTTTAAGCCAGTAAGACTGGATCAAAGGCTCTAGGTGGAGCATCCTTTTGGGCTTTGATCTCTTTCAAAGATGGCACTCTTTCCACCATGCTAGGCACTGATGGAAGAACGACAGGTACAGGGTGCTGGTCAACCCGGGATACTGAGGTTTCAGAAAGGCTGCTTCCACATAGAGCATGCTGTGCCCGTGTTCTGGTGCAGAGCAGCAATGACACAACCCAAAGAACAATCACTCAGAATTCAAGTTTTAATGCAATGAGAGCTCCCAGTGAAGCAGGAATTCATTCTGTGATGCCTTTAACATGGAGAGGGCCACAAAGGGTCCAGATTCAGAGAGCATAGATATAAGCCTGGTTTGACCGCACAAATTAGCTGTACAACCTCAGAGCAGGGTTACTGGGTGGGGTGCAACAAACCCTCTGCAGGGGACAACTCTTCACTGAGCGGGACTGTGGGAGACGCTGTAGGCCACGTACCAACCCCACCTGACTCCCTGTGCCAACTGCATGCCAACACCTCCTCCAGTCTTTGCGAGGAGGACAACCCCCACCCCGGAACCCCCAAATGCCTCCTAAGACATAGGCTGAATTCTTGGAGGCACAGATTTTATCTGGGGATAAGACCTGTTCCACCACCTCAGCAGTGATTTGGGAGGAGCAAATACGCTTCAGCTCCTTATAAACTTACCGTAGCTACACGAATGACATCACGATACCCATTTGCACAGGCAGCCGTACCAGTTAGAGGCAGGGCTATAGAGTTGGTCCAAATACCTGTATCCCAGGTTGGATTTATTACCCAGGGTCAGCTGTCCAGCATGTACTAGAATATGCAACAGTTACTTATTCTGAAAATGTTTCCCCTCCGTAAGTGGGAAACCCTGGTTTTACAGCACCCACACTGCGGTGTAAATTTTCCAGTGAGGGCTGATGGCAGATCCACAGGCTCCTGGAGCAGACAAGAAGGATGGCAGTCTCAAAGTGGCTTCAAAGAATCTGGCTTAGGATGGCACCCACACTAACCTGGAATGAGAAGGATGCTTCTCTTAGTGAGCAAGGATTAACCTCAAGGATCAAGAGAATGAGGTAACAGGATACGGTGCTCTACTCTCCCATGCACAGCAGAGCAAGGAGCATAATGCGTAGTTCTGACCTTCAAAATGGCTGCTCCGTTCTTTGCATTTTTCAGCCATGCTTATGGAAGAGAATCTTAGAGGCTGGGCAGGGCTGCATATTAGTAGTACAAGAGTACAAGAGTAATACTAATAATTAGTGTTAGTGCACAAGAGCCACCTGGAGAGTGGCATGAAGAATACACCTGCCACAGGAGTTTGGATTCTGTCCGTCTGGACTGGGCCCAGGGACCTGCACTCTTAAATCCATCTCTCTGGGTGATTCAGATGCAGGCTGCAGACTGCCTCTGGGAGAACAGGGACACCTCTCCAGAGACTTCTACGGTTAGGAGGCTTCGTCTTCAACTCTCCCTCACGGAGCATTCTTGCTCTCATTTTATTGCTTTCATGACTTAGAATTTAGGTAAAAATGCTTCTCTGCCCTCAGGTGTGGCTGGTTTTTGGGTTAAAAAATTGTTCTTACTTGACCTCTCTTCCTCCTCCCCACCTACTTCCCACACACATTGTGTAAGCAAAAAGCTGATTTTACTTTGTTGATCTAATTTCTCCTTTATCATTCGCTTTCAAATGAGGACTAGGAAATGCTGACTGGGCAGAAAGTTCCAACCCTTCCTTTGAGGAAGGCCAAAGGCCTCAGGTATTAATAGGGAAGTGAAGGAGGCCACCAAAGGCAGAGCTGGGGAAAGCCATGAGTCTTGAAGAGCAAATGTGCAAACGGATACCCACTCTAGGTTGTCAGCTGTGGTAAAAGGGCACTGAGGTGGCCCATAAGAATCACCCAGGGGTTGGGGAGGCAGTGCTGGCAAATTAGGTAGCCATACATGTGTAGCTTCTCCATCGTCCCTTACATTAAAATATTCAGCATCAGCATGGTTCTTACAGTCTCACCCGACACTGCTTACTATTCAGCATTGGTACATTCCTCCAAATTCTGTTCATCTTAAAAACAGCAGACTGATAATGTAAAGTTCCTAAATCTCTGGACTTGGCCATCTAAAATGAGATCTTTTATCCTTTTCTTCTCCAAGTTTCTAGAATGCATTTTCATAGCATACTTGCAAAGGGAAAGATTATCAGAAAAAGAAAAATGGGTGGTAGTAAAGTCAAAGGAATATTATACTAAAGGTTTTGGTAGGAAAATATTTATGTCCACAAGCACAAGCCACACCCTTTCTGGGAAGATATTACTAGCCTTGAAGCTGGGTTAGTGGATCCCAAAATATACTTCACAAAAAGCACAGTTACCCTCCCAAAATAAGCCCTATAATTAAAGTCTTTTCAAGTGGATTGTCCTATATCACAACTTGACATATGTTGCTTTAATCTCCCTGCTTCAGCAAATGTAGCCATCTTGGGCTACAAAAGCCCTCAACAACTTACATTTAAACCAGACTGTGGTGTCACTAGGAAATTGATGCAAATAAACAGCCCTGTGTACCAAAATACCCAATCTCAATCATCTATAATGAGATCTCTCTCCTCCCTAAGCACATTTTCATCACACCAGAATCACTGCCCTTGATTCAAAAGGAAGGACTAGCCCAGATTGAAATACCATTTCATCTCAGAGACCATCTAAAGGCAGGCACTTCTAAAGAAGCTGGAGCTGAAATTAAAATAGGAGATGACCTCCTTTGTGTGAATGCGGGGATCATGTTGTGTGAGTCTCACTTCAGACGCCCATCTGTCTGTCTGAATTCATTTAAGTCAGTTCGTGCTTGGAGTGAGAGAGAGTCCCTTATGAGACCTTTTGGCCCTATGATTCTCTGACCAAACTTCTTTATGTTTTCTAGTTATATATTTACATATAATTAAATGTCAAAATACTTAAAATTTTAAACCTTCAAAATAATAAGTACTTTGGACATTAAAAAATTTTTTTTTTATTACTTCCACATCAGGTTTCTCGGTCTCAGCTTTATTGACACGTGGGCCTGATCACTGTGTGTGGGGGTGCTGTCCTGTGCACTGTAGGATGGTTAGCATCCATGGCCTCCACCCACTAGATGTCAGTACACACATCCTCCCACCCCCAGTTGTGACAACCAAAAATGTCTTCAGACATTGCCAAATGTCCTGTGGGAGAACAAAATTAACTCGGGTTGAGAACCACAGCACTTATATATCTCCCCGTGGCATGCCCAGGGGGAAAATAAATCTAGATTTCTCAAGGCACTCACAAGTTTTCATTTTAAGAATTTCAAACTTCCTGTGATTCATAATGAAGAATCAGGATCTGTGATACGGTGCTACCTTGAAAGATTAAAAACAGCACTACTGCTGTCTTAAACAAAGGGTGGCAAGGCCTGGCCTCATTTCAGTCAAGACACTTAAGAGAGGATGGATTTACTGTACCCTATCTCTTAGACGGCTATCCTCCCCACTTTGAGGAATTCCATTCTTAGAAGACTACTGTTAAGAAATCCTTCACAGTCTATTACCAGGCACTCCGTACTGATCACAAAGGAAGAGGATTAGGGTTTGTATCTGGTGACATTGTCTATAGAAGCAACGGCCCTCTGTACTGCTCGTGGGCCAGATCACCTCAGGGGCAAGTGCTTCTAATGCTGGAAAGGCAGGGTGGGGAGGGAGAGGGAAATAACATCAGGAGACAAACAGTACAAGGATGGAACATGGTTAAGTTCAGCCCAGAGAGGAGAAGACGAATGATGAAGGAGAGGGTCTTCAAATACGTGAAGGGCTGGTGTGTGTGAGAGTGTGGGTAGACTTGTCTCTGCCTACTTAGAAAGTGACTACGAGCATAGCTGGCTCAGTGAGTACTTACCATAGGCCTGCTAAGTGCCAGGCACTGTCCAGGCACTGGGACCAGAGGAAGGAAGAAGACCAAGTTCCCGTCTCATGGAGCACATACGGTTCAATGTAAGGACTAGATTGCTTTCCTTCCCTCCTTTCTTCCTTCTTTCTTCTTAACAATTTGAGCTAAATGTCCAGGTATTTGTCTAACTGCTTGTTTGTTTGTTTTTTCTATTTTAAAACTGAGGTTTAGGGGTGCCTGGGTGGCTCAGCTAAACATCCGCCTTCAGCTCAGGTCACGATCCTGGGATCCTGGGATCGAGCCCTGAGTCAGGCTCCCTGCTCAGTGGGGAGCCTGCTTCTCCCTCTCCCACTCCCCCTGCTTGTGCTTTCTGTCAAATAAATAAAATCTTAAAAAACAAAACAAAACAAAACTGAGGTTTAATTAACAGCAAAATTCACCCTTTTATTATAGAATTCTGTGAACTTTCATGAAACAATACAGTTGTATAAATACTGCTAGAAATCCAAGATCCAGAACAATTTCCTCACCTGCTACACTTTTCCTGTGCCCCTTAATTGTTTTCTTTAATTGGAGCATGCTGCTCTGTGCAGTAGCAAGCTCCTCACCTCTGAGAGAATTTGGACTCCTTTCTGTCACAGGTTCTGTAGAAGAGACTTGTTTTGGCTAGTGGGAGAATGGGCCAGACAACCCTTGAGGCCATGTCCATCTCTTCGATTCCATGAAACTGGAGGGGTCCACCTAGGGACACCAATCTTAAAAACCAGCCCATCTGCAGTGAGTGACATGGCTGATTCCTTCCAACCATAGATAAAAGCCCTACCCCAAAGCCAAATTCTTTTAGTCGAAGCTCAAAAATTTCAGCCCGATACCTGGATCTCTGCGAAGGGTATATAATAAGCACAGATGAAAAAAAATCAAAAGAAAGGTTTGGAAATGAAAGCCTAAATATGGTAACTACTCCTGACTCTTCTTTTCCTTCTCATTCTTTTCATTCAAAGTAACATTAACTTCAAAACCGAAACAAAACTCTAACAAATGTAACTGTACTTGTCTGCAAAGGTGGCAGGAAGGGAAGTTCAATTAGCCAAGCTTGTCTAAGAATGGGTAGACAGGAGTGGAGAAGATGATAAATGTCTTGGGGCTGCCACAGTGTGTTATGGAGTGGACTGTGGAGGATGGACTGCGGTGACCAGCTGTGACATCCCTTGTGACAGCAAATGTGGTGTGACCAACCCATCCACGGTGGCCCTCCTACTGGGAGATATGTACACCTTTTGGTGGTTTGACTTCAGTCAATGTCCAGTTTCCAAATGAGGCTGTCCCGTTACCAAGAATAACTGCTCCATCGAGCACCTACTATGCCCCAGCACTACCTAGCTCATTTTATTCTCACCACAACCATGTGAGGTGTGTAACATTACAAGCCTTGTTTTATAGACGAGGAAACTGAGGCTCAGAGAGTGGATGTAACAACCAGTTAGTGTAGAACTTAAATTTTAGCCTGACCCTGAAGACTGTTCTTTTTACTACTGCTGGCAAGGTATTCTGGGTGGTTGCTGGACTTAATGTTCTTGGTCTCTTGGGCCACTGTCATGCTGGGATTCCTGATTCCCTTCAGTTTCCCGTTGCCCAAACAGCTAACTGTCCATTTCTCATTTCAACAGCTAGGCCGTAAGGATTTCTCTGCGGTGGAGACTCTTTGTTGCTGTTGTTATTCTATTGGTCTGCACGTTATTACTCTTATATTCCATGGGTTACCCAGACCGTAAGCTAAACTGTCAAGGGTATTCTTTACCCTGTGTCCAGAAGCTTCCCTAAATCTAGACTTCTTTTTAAATCTTAGAAAACCCCACACTTCTTAATAACATTAGCAATAACAAGAAAAAATGTCATACTGTCAGCAAGTGCTGATTAAATGTCACATCTAATTATAAAATCCTATTTTGTCTAAGTTTAGTGCAGATTCAAAAGATGCACGAAACAAGGCAATGGCTTCCCTTTTGGGCACCACTTTACAACAAAAGGTATTAGAAAATGCAGCAGCACTTACCAAAATTTCCCCCAACTATCACAAACTTTATATACACCACATGTCTTCTTCTACAGCTGCTGGACCGGTCCTGAAAAACAAACCACAACAAAAGGAAAAATGCACTGCTGAACAGAAGTCATTTACCCTTCTGGAAACCACATAGTCTTCCTTGTTTGGGGCACTCATCCACGTACCAAACTCTTACTGCCAGATTATTCTCCGTTTTTCACAGGAAGATGAAACCATTTATAAATTAACAAATAAATAAAAGTCTGGAGAATGAAGTAAACCAGAAACTTTGCTCAGACTTTATTTGAATTTTTAGCCCTTTAAAATAATTGAAGACAAAACAATGCAAAAATATCTAAAATTGAACTCATAAAAATTTCCCCCAAACCAATTCTTTTTCCTGTTTCTTTCAATAACACACTCTCTTCTCCCTTGCTGGCTGTGAGACCCTCACCTTTCGTTTCTAGACTTCATTTTCTTACCTGTAAAATAGGGATTATTGCACTGACCTCCCAGGGTGGTTATGGAAATTAAATGAGATAAATTTAATGACATATAAATGTCACAGCAAGGCTTAAAACAGCATCTGGCATGCAGTAAACACTCAGTGCGTGCAAGGAGCTATTATCGGTCTCCTAATCACCCAGGCCTGAAAACAAACATGGCCTTCCTCACCTCCTCGGTGAACCAAGGTCCCAGCCTGCCCTTCTAGTCCTGCGGGTGTGCTGGAACTCACCGCCTTCTCTCTATCTTATCATTACACCAGCTGGCATCGCTCCGTGCAGAAACTGGTTTCCTGGCCCCCGGTTTCTTCCCTTCCAATCCTGCTCTCACGGCTCTGCAAGGCATCCTTCCTAAACGCAACTTAAAGCCTTGTGGAAACACCTTCCACTGCTTCCTGTGACCTACAAATTTATCTGTGAAATTACATTAGCCTGGGACTCCAGCTCCCCTCTGCTTTATCTCCACATCTTCCCGCCGGAAGCTGCAGCGTCCAGTCACCTGTCCTGCCTGAGCCCGTCTGCATGCCAGTTCCTTCCCTGAGTGTCTCTGCCTCATAACTGCTGGTAGGAAGCCTAGCCATTTTCTGAGGCAGGGGCTCTTTGTCCTTTTTGTCCTGTAGCAGTCTAGAGACATGTTTCTCAGAATAATGTTTTTAAATGCTTGAAATTAATGCATGAAATGAATAGGATTCAAAAGAAGCATATTGATCATACAGTTATCAAAATATAACAAAATTGTGATGTGTTTCTTTCCATATTTAAATAAGTTCCAGCAAAAGTCTAAAAATTACTGTAATTTGAAGTACTGTTGGGCATAAATGATATTTTAGGGTATCTATAACCATAATATAATATGAAAATACCCATAATTTCTATTGGTGGCAAAGAACTAATGCTACTTTGTAATACAAGGAAATATTAGATTTCGGTTAAGGGTTAGTGAAAATAATTTTTTTTTCTCCATCCAAGTTCACAGAGCTCCGAATTCCATTCATGGACCCACATCATGAGCCCCTGCTTTTAGGCCTGGCCTAACTTTCTTCTTCTTGAAGCCTTTCTTTCTTTCTTTCTTCTTTCTTTCTTTATTTTTTTAAAAGATTTTATTTATTTATTTTAGATAGAGAGAGAGCATGAGCAGGGTGGAGGGGCAGTGGGAGAGGGAGAAGCAGGCTCTCCACCGAGCAGGGAGCCTGATGTGGGGCTCGATCCCAGGACCCTGGATCATGACCTGAGCTGAAGGCAGATGCTTAACCAACTGAGCCATCCAGGCACCTTTCCTTGAGCCCTTTCTACCTTGATTTTCCCAATGGCTATGATCTTATCTCTCTTTGTTTTTCTCTTTCAAAAATTATGTTTTATTTGTTATAGATACTTGAAATACATTTACTGTATCCTACTTTTTAGGCTGTAAGGGGAGGCACTATTTTTTTTTTTTTTAATTCCTCCCATGGCTAATAGTGTTTTGCCTCACAGCACATACAGGCAGGAAGGCATGTGGCCGGCACTGTTTGAATCAATCAGTGAGTCAAAGGGCTTTCTTGCCTGCCCCACACAGATCAGCTAATATGACTATTATTTCACCTCTCTTTGGCAGGCTATGAGGTCCTAAATATGTAGATAGGACCCCTAAACACTCCATATTTAGAGTATAAATTACTGAAGTTAGGCAACAAAATGTTCTCTGCTTTTACTTCTCTCTAGAGCGTGGATGCTCAGTCAGTGCTGCTGACAGACCTCCCAGGAACAGACCAGCGGTCCAGGCAGTGCGTCACATGGGGGGCTCACAGTCCCTGCCTTCATGGAGCACCGAGTCTAGCAGGTTTCCCCACCTGGTGGAGAGTAGCTGGGCACCTCTCAACCTTTCAGGGCTTCTGCAAAGATGAGACATATCTGGTGATTTCCTAAGTATGGGCACCTTGGTGACCTATGTAGGCAAGGCCATTGAAGAGTTGCTCTGGTTTTCCATTGGTCTCACAGATGTGAGCCCGTGGTTCCAGTAGATGGAGTGGTGAAATGTCATCTTCCCTCCTAAATGACACCATCCTTGCATATGAAGTCGGAGATGACAACCCTGCCAAAGAGACTGTCTCAGGAAGGTCTACTTAACACCTGGCTGCATATTTCACTCTGAGCCCCACTGGGTCTATGATGGATCTGCCCCAGGACGGACACCAGTCCTTTGGTCTTACCAGCTTTTTCCCTAAACAGCTACAGCTCAGGACTCCTGTGCATCTTTTATTAAGAAAAACTTAAAAATAATAGATTAGGGGTGCCTGGTTAGTTCAGTTGGAAGAGCATGCAATTCTTGATCTCAGGGTCATGGGTCTGAGCCCCGCACTGGGTGTAGAGGTCACTTAAATAAACTTTAAAAAAATCACAAAATAGTTCTCCTTTTTCAAATGATGATAGCATGATGATTTTCTCCACTGATAATCACTCATAAAGGTATTGTGGCCATTTGCTTTGGCATAAATCCACCACCGGCAGCATTTTTCATGCTCAACCTCATATCCAGTGACACTGAGGACAGTAGGGGTGTACTCTCTCTCCCCGAGAACTAAGACAGATGACATATTCACTCAGATCAAAGGCTGGGCTTGGCACACTCTTTTTAAACTTAAGGACATTTACATCCATCTCATTTGAATTTGTTCTTTTTGAGACACATTAGATATATGGTATTAAATAGAAAGAACTGAAAGATAATGAGGAGGGCAACATGACTGTTCAATCTTTTGTTTCAAGAATTATGACATATATATCCCCATAAATAAATAGTAAGATATTAATAGGCATTCCCACACAACACATTGCCCTGCATGAACTTTTTGCTTCTACTACATATCATAGACCCTGTGCGGCTCCTGGTTTAAAGGATAACATTCTCATTACCATTGGAACAAGTATCTCTAATACAGTTCTCATCTGCACGGGTCATTCCTTCACCCTTCTTCCTAACAGATCCCCTATATCTCTTCAGCCACAGTGCCTCAGGGGCAGGTGACAGCACTCCAGCTGGAGGGTGGGGACCTGAAGGGCCCAGGGCTTTGTGGCATGCTACCCAGTGATGGTCAGCATCACCTGGGAGCTTCTGAGAAATGTCAGCTCTGAGGCCCTAGCCCAAACCTACTGAACCAGAATCTATTTTATAAGATCCCCAGGTGATCTGTGTATCCACAGGGTTTCAAATGCACTGATCTAAGGGGAACACATTCCTCTTGACAGTGACAGGTTCAAGATTAGGCATGTGACCCAATTCAGGCCAACAAGATGTCAAGAATGTTTTGCTGGGAGCTTCTCATTCTGAGATAAATTCCCCCCTTCTGAATGTTGTGTGGGATATGATGCCTAGGACTTCTGTAGCTACCTTGCTCCAGTCTAATGATAAAGCTGGCCCAAAGAGGAGGGCAAAGACAAAAGTCCCAGGGAAGCAGAGTTGGGGTGACTGCATCAGGTCAACCCTGAAGTCTGTGGAACCAATGGAAGTCTAGTAAATTTCTTATTGTTCAGGCCTCCTTGAGTTGGGTTTTCAATTACCTGAAGCTGGAAAGCATCTTTCCAGCAAATCAGTGTCCAGTAAAGCATTATAAAAAGGACAGAACACCGAGACGTTGGGCTTAGTCATATGCTCAAGAGTCCAGACAAGTCAGTGCATTGACAGGCAACAGTTTAGAGACTTGTTTTGTTTGGGGAACTGACCCAGGAGTATTTCTGGTTCTGACAACCTTTGTTCGCTTTGTGCATTTCCAAAAGCTTTCCAAATCAGCTAGTTTAAATGATCAACCAGAGGAAGTGCTGAACACTTTCCAAATTATTTTAACCAGAGCGGTCAGCAGTTGCTTTCCCCAGAAGCCACATGGATGTCATTTCCTGTAAAGACAATGGGAGACTAATTGCTCAGCCTTGGACTCCAGCAGGGAAGACAACCTGTGACATGTTGTTACTGGCAGGGTAAATAAGGAAAAGCGTGAGGATCTCAGAATCTGCTTCTGAGATTTATCCACTCCAATAACTTGGGGGAAAAGTTAAAAAGCACCAGCTGGTCTAGGAAAAGATTTGAGGGGCTAGCAAATTAGATAGTCACCTACAGCATTTTTATGTACACTGGTATTTATGGAAGACCTTTCTGAGGAAACCAAATAGACCTGCTCTTGTATAAAACTATATAGGACTCTGGTGTGATTTTGCTTCATACACAGGAGTGATTAGTCAAGGAGAGCTGGGCATCCAAATGGACATTATTTCTTCTGTGTGTTACAGCTTCTTAGCCACAACAGGATATTTTGAGGGATGAGTTTGCTGTGTCAGCTTGATGAAGAATGTGCTTCCTATCATGGAGTGAAATTAGTTGGTTCTCCACAGAATGTTTCTTAGGTTCTCTCACCTCAGGTCTTTTTTTCCTCTCCAATCCTTTTTGCTTTCTCTTTCCTGGTACCTTATATGCTTCCAAAGCTCCAACCATCACCCCTTGTCATGAGTTTCAAACCACACTCCTAGATCTCTCACCCATGCTCCCAGTTCCTCTGCTGCCTCCTAGACATAAAGTACTTTGAAGTGGGGACTTCGTTTTGGTCAC